AAAAAAAATAAAAAAATAAAAAAATTATGAATTTCTTGCGTATCTTTCTCATGTCACTACATTTATCAATTCGCAGCTAAATTCCCGACTTCAAAAAATAATAGTCGTGTAGCAGTACATGGCAACCTTCCAAGTACGACAGTTCAAAGAGCAGTAGCGTACCTATTTCACCACCCGATCTTTGAAAACCAGATGAAGTGGCCCTGGACTAGTAGTAAAATAGTCAATCGCCTCACTAAACATACGTTGTCCATCTTCACCCGGGGCAAATTCGAAATCAAACTCGGTGAGGATCAAAGCAGCAGCCACACGGATTTCTATCAAACTCAGGTTCTTCCCCAGACACGCGTACTTGCCTGCTCACATCAGTTAGTAAGAGCCCCCCCCCCCCCAAGGGGAAATTATGTCTCACGGGGAACGACCGACCAGTACTCCACGGCACAAATGCCTGTTTATCGAGAATTAAGTGAGACCGAGTAGAGAACCTCTCTGGGATCCACTCGTTGGGGCTTACAAAGTTCCGTTCGTCTAATGTAAAGTCAGCACCATGAATACAATCTCCGAGCGACCCAGGCGCAAGAAAAAACTAACCTCTGGATAGGCTGTAATTGCGGCACCGCAATCGTTGTTCCCCCGGGAATGAACTTGTCCGCAACCACTAGCCCTTCCGGGGGGCTCTGGCGCAGTCCGGACGAGGGCACTGCAGGATTGAGCCGTAATGTTTCGTAAATACACGCAGTCAGATGCGGTAGCTGCTGTAGAGCTTTGTAGTCTCGGATGTGGATAGAGGAGAGCTCGTCACGGATCTGCTGCAGGTGTTGCGGGTTGCGCAACAAGTAATATAACATGTTGGAGAGGACCTGACGCATAGGGTCGCTGTTATGCGATTAGAAGATATTCATTCCTGGTGAGTTGTTTAAAGGGGAAAAGCGTTTACAGACCTGCCTGCTACTAGGACGAGGACGAAGTCTCCTAGTACAAAGTTCCAATTTGCTGCTACTCCGCCAGTTGCTTTGGCGTCTTCGAGGACATAGCCGATAATATCCGTCCGATCCTCGCTTACCTCCTGCATTTGAGAAAGTCAGTCTCGAGATAGAAAATGCTTTGACAAGGAAGGACCTGCTTTGATGTTTCGCTGCAGCTCCGTAGCCGCCCAGTCCATGAACTGTCTGTAATATTTCATCCGTTCAATGTAGGGGATCCACCATCATAAGATGCTTGATCCATGGTGCAGCGGCAAAGGGTCCCAGTCTGCGGTGAGCCATATGATAGATGGTGAGGATTGGGTGTGGTCCAGCTCGCTCGAGGTTCTTGAATTTGATTGTCAGTCCAAACTCGCCCATTAGATCGAAGGTGTAATATTCAAGCCACGCGGAGATGTTCACGGGACTCTGGTTCTGATTCCGTAGCTGTTGGACCAGCAAATCAGCTTTTTCGTAGACCAAAGGCTCTAGTCTTTCCAGTGCTATATGTGCCAAATTAATGCGGTGAATTGTAGTATCTAGCACTCAACAGACGTACCCCTCATGCTGAATGCTTGATCCCATATCTTGCGTCTGTAAGCATGGACAGCCGGATCACGCGTGGTGTCCAAGGATACCATAGGGTGTAGCAGATCATAATACGCGGCTCTACCGCATTCAGAATCCTTCCCATGGACTTTGTAATATGCTTCCGTGCCGAACAATGTGACCTCATTCGGACCTGGTCGGGGAGTGAGCAGCTTGACTGGCAGATTCAGGTCTTGTCTTTTATTTAATTACCGGTGCGCACAATATCTCCATACTGCTTGTGAAGTTCATGAAGAACTTCGCAGTTCCTGAAGCGAGCCTGCTTCCAGACGTGTGTCAACTTGGTCAGGCGCAGCGACAGAGGGCCTTGGATATGATTCAACGGAGACCAGAATAATCGGAAAACGAGGATGCTGAAGAACAGCGTTCCGGCGTATAATGAAAGCAGAGTGACAGTCCCCCTAAGGGCATCTTGGATCGGGACGCTCTCTAGCCTGACTTTTGCGAAAATGAGTAGGCTTGTTCCCAAGAGGTGAAAGCGAGCGATATTGGCTGCTCCTAGGTCAAGCTCGCCGTGCACAAAGAAGCCCCAGTGGGATACCAAACCCAGCGCAATTGCACTACTTTTTTGGATGTTGAGTACCGACATATTGATCTCTTAGGTCGAATACAGGGTTCGAGTTCTTTACCGCGCTAACATCAAATCTCTGGGTTGATGGAAATCATATATGTGCTACAGAGTCTCCTGCTGGAGCAATTTATCACAGTTAACGGTGTATGGCGGATCATTAGAGTGACCGCTAAGTGGTACGTCCTTATTATGGTACGCTGGTGTTGGTACCGGGGTTAGAAAGGCGTAAGCGATTATCATGATGAGTTGAAGCTTCATTTTATAAATGATTTCAGCTCCGATAGCCCAATGCCACACTAGTTCTTCTTAGATCTACCCCTCTAATCCCCCTAATCTAGCCAAAATCTCCGTTCTTGAACACTTCATTAACAGCGGCACCTAAGTCCATCCCGCTATGGACTATGTATTCACCCGTGATTTTCTGGATAACAACCGGTCTGTATCTCACATACTCATCATTTGCTGCTATATTGGCTCACTATTATTGACCAATGAGAGAACAGCATTAACCTACAGCACTATCTCTGGATAGAGTTGTTTGGGTATCACATCCATCCTATTATCCCAACAAACAGCCCAACCCTAAGAATCGCCGACATAGGCACTGGCACCGGGTTAGACAGGTCTCGACCTTCTCCTTTGTAAAAACAAGCACTAACGCTTATAATAGAGTCTGGCTGACAGACCAAGCCCGTCGACTGCCCAGCACTGTGTTCTTGGAAGGCCTTGACGTTTCGTTTGACGCCACTCCGCCGCAGGAGTTGCTGCCTCCAAATGTGAACCTCCGAGAGTACAACATTCTCGGAGATACTCCCCCGGACCTCCAAGGTCTATATGACATAGTGCATATCCGGAATTTCTCCTTTGTTCTTGAGGATGACCAAGTCGAGCAGTTCATCCGCAATCTTTATCAATTGCTCAGTATAGCGCCCCTATCACCTCCCCTCACCTATACTCTCGCAGTCGGACCCTATCAGCTAACTCACTCACTTCTTCATATAGAACCAGGTGGCTACATCCAATGGGGAGAGCCCGATGTGTCGTCTTTCCGCATCGAAAAATCTGACCCGGAAAACAAGATCGAAGCCCTTACCGAGCTAATCCAGATAGGCCAAGGACAAGATGGCCGACTTCGCCCGACCTGGGTTCCTAAACTGCCCAGATATTTCCAGGAAATCGGAATGGAGGGAGTAGAGTCAGATGTGAAAGAGCCACCGCCGCATTTGGCATTTGCAAAACATGAATGCAACCTCATCATCCATGAACTGATTTCGCGCAAGACGCAGAACGCGGCCGTCGGCGAGAAGTTGAACCACATCATTCCCGCGGTAGCTCGGGAGACACAGCAGGGCTCATACTGGGCTTTTACGAGGTGGACTGTTATCGGTCGGAAGCCGTTACCGGCCAATGGGATGTAAATGACTACCCAAGTTATCTAGTACTTAAATAAGGAACCAAGACTTGGTTAGTACATCAAATATCATTGTCTTTGCATAATTGAGGCCATGGCAGAGAGGTGTGTCGCTTGACCTTTCAGGGTAGAACTATCTTTAAGCTCGAGATATGCGTCATGAGCTATTGTTCATTAAAGCAGAACAGAAGATTCTGTGTGGTGTATGATCCGTGTAGAGATGTGTGTGCGCGGACTGTGGAGCTGCTCTATGAAGCAAAAATAATATCAATAATTTATAAGCCACTCTCGCTGTAGCCATTTCTGGTGGCAAGGCATAGAACGATGTTACCGCATAGTCATCGCTTGAGAGGATCATTTCCACGTACCATCCAATATGGGTGATCTTTATTTGAACATAGTCAATATAGGTATTGGGCTGTGGACAACGCACGAGGTAGCAAATCTCCAAGAATCGCTACATATGGGGGGATCATGGACAACCGTTCGATCGCGGTATAAGAGCCCACAGGTAACGCACTCAGTGATATGAGCATCCACAAGGTTCCCCAAACCTACAGCTGAATGCACCATAGACAAGCTAATCAAGGGTAGCACCCTACGAGGTAAGACCGGGGTTTGGGCCATCATGACGATGAGTAAAAGGAGCAGGGAATTTGCTATTTCTTTTTATTATACATTATATTAGATTCTAAGTCTTAGACTTTTCCTCGGAGCCCTTGGGTTCTTTTTTCTTCAGATTGAGCCCCTTCATCAGCCATGGGTCCATCAGGAGCTCTAGGGCTGTTGGGTGGTTTTCGGGGTTCCACTGCAAGGCAAGTCGCAACCACCGCAAGAAACCCTCCACGTCCTCGCTTTGAATGTTGACAGCCAGATTTTCAAGAGTTCGGTCAGGAATTGGGACCAAGTTTTTCCATTGACCAGATTGAACCCAGAATACCAAACTCAGGTCTCTCTTTTCGAGGAACTCCCGTGGCGGAGGGCCGAGCAGCGCCACCAGTTCCGCAATGTGGACTCTGTCATCAAAGATGCCATCTCTAGTTTCACCCCTGATGAGGGTTTGAGAGCTGACAATATCCCAGGCCTTTGGAAATATGATTAGCAACTGATCAATTCATAAACAGAATAGGCCCAGCCGGCAACAAGTACTTACGACCATGGCAATGCTCCATATATCTACCTTGTAGTCCCAGTTCGATTTTAAGATAACTTCCGGGGCAGGCACGGTAGTAGTCTGGCATAATATCTCCACTGTTGTCCTGGTCACCAAATCGGGCTTCTCCGAAATCACCTAGCAAAGGGAGTCCGTCTCCTGCATGAAAACGCGAGGTTGTATAGATTGTCCGATCTTTAACGATCTTCCTCGCTGCAGGAGCTTTTATTTCACGCTCTTCAAAATCCGCAAGTGCAGAGGATGAAGGTGTAGGAACAAGTAAATTTTTCAGCTGGATGTCTTTTCGACCTTAGTTCCATCGTTCTACGCTTTAGAGGGGTACTGGAGAAGGCAGACAGTACCGGTATGGATGAGGCGAGCCACAGAATGCAAGAAGTCCAAGACACCCAAGGAGTTGACGGTGATGGCAGATTTCATACTCTCGAGTGTCATTGTCCGGCCTGGGATGTGTCGCAGCAGTTCATTCGCATTCATCCCAAGTGGTTCCTGAACTAGACAAATATGACGGCCGCTAGGGCCCTGCACGTAAAAGTGACCAAGTATTTTGCGAATGAACTTCCTGCCAGGATGATCCGTTTCCACAGAGTCAATGTGCTTATAAACGTTCAGTTCATGCTCCCTTTTTTGACCCAACACGTAAATTTTCAGTACAACATATGTAGATTCACTTAAATCCTCAGGGCTGAGGATGGCTCGACCTTGCCGCAGGTAGTTTTCTAAATTGAACTTACACCAAGTCACGGGCAAAGCAAACGGTCGAGGTTACTCCATAGCCTAACTTGGCTAGCACTTGGTACCGGTCGTTGAAAACCTCTCCCTGTTGGACCGGATAGTACTTTTCAGGAGAATATGGGGGCAATGTCTCTTCTTCGACTTTTAAACGATACATCAAGCAGCTCGAATCCCAAAGTTGAAAATTCTCGTGGCGTAGATGCCCATGTCGATAAGAGCATACCTGTTCTGTGGAGTGACCTTGCTCGTTGATAGGGATATAGTGAGATAGGGGACGAAGAGCGTGGTCGAGGCAAAGTTCGGACTATGGAAGGGAAACGAATGCTCCACGAGTTTCGACTCATTATGATGAATAGATCTTTTGAGAAAAGTATTAAAATGCTGGATGCTTCTTAGCCCCCTAGCAACTAACTAGGTTAGCCGATGGTCAAGGGCTTCCCTAGGCTGCGGTAATTCCGAGGTTGCCAGGGGATCTACCGGAGCGCTACCCCGGGGCTGGGGGACGCTAGTCTTATGCTAGAACATACCCGACCCTAAGTACTATAAATAGTGTATGCCATGTGCTTTATACTTGCTCTACATATGATTTGTATACACTTTATTTGGGGTAAATTTCCATATTTAGTCCTGTGATCAACAGAGAACTATGCTTATCTACTCCATAGTTTTTTATTATTCAGCATTTACGCATCATCCTACTTAGTTAGATTTTAAGATTTGTAGACCTGAGATGCATCAAACGTAACTTAAAACTCTTACAATGTCACTAGTAACACTTCTTATGCACAACAGAAGGCCCCTCGTCGTCATATTCCTGCTTCGAAACCCAAAGGTTTTGAAATGTAGACAACGATGCAAGAATACTCCCTCCAACCCAGGCCGAGTATTGTTGATCCTTTGGAGTGATAATGTTCGGGTTTGCTGAGGGAGCAAGATCAAATATTTCCTTTCCAAGGCGGTCGATGAAGCCAGGGAAAAGGGTTGAACCGCCAGCCTAGAATCAAGTGAGATGGGTCAGTTGCGTCTACTATAGAAAAGGGCTGGTTCTGTAAGCTGCGTAGATATCGGCGACTCACCGGAACAATGTTGCGGTACAGCTGCGCTTGCACATGGGAATCAAATTTCTGAATTGCATCATGTACAACTTGATGGATGCCCGGTCGGTCAATGGAAAGGATCTTGTCAGGCTGGAATAGCGCTTCTGGCGCACAAAAACGCTGGGTCCCTAAGGTGATCTGCTGTCCATCAGGCAAGTGAAAGCTCTGATTCTCGCTAGCATCAAGCTCAGAGTCAAAGTCCAATGCAACATGGCAGCAATTCTCTTTGATTTCCTTGGCTATCTGGTCTTCGCAGTTCAGAGTGTTCGCAAGGTAGTCGGTTATGTCGATGCCAGCTAGATCATCAATCTTGGAGAAGGTATTGGGGGAAGTGACGTTCTCGTGAATTGGTACGATCTGGGTCACACCATCGCCGGATTCAATCACAACACCAGTCTGAAGACCAGATGCGTATAGAGACAAGACCGGTTGGCTTGCAAGGTATATCGCTGGGTTATTGAACGTTTCAAACAACATTTGGGTCATCCTTTCCCGATTCTGCCGTGGGTTGCCTATGGCTTCTGACATTACAACAGGATGCTCTTCCGTAGCGACGTGGAGCTCATTGTAAAAGATGTTGCGACAGATTGTCTCCATGTCGTCCCAGTTGGTTACGATGCCGCGCTGATACGGTCGATTGACAGCAGGATTGCCAACCACGGAAGCTATGCGAGTAGCGTCAGCGCGATTTTCTTTTTTCTTTCTTTTTCTTTTTTGTTTTCTTTTTTTTTTTTTCCTTTTGTCCCTAGTAAAATATTTGGGATGTCGGGGCATTTAGGATCTAAAAAGGCACTCTAGGGAAGCCATACAGATCACTGAGCGTGGAGCATCATCACCAGCAAACCCAGATTTGAAGAAGCCAGATCTGTATGAGAAATTAGTTGACTTGATTAAATCCAGATAATGCCCCCGCATGAGAATGAAAACGGAAAGGCTATATACCCAGTGTCAATCACAAGGGGTTGGATGTCGCCGTCCGCCATGATAGTCTCAAAGGCTTCTAGAGTAATAGCCGAGTTCAGTTAGGGATGGTCCAACAAAGAGTGATTAGTTTCCTGATTGTAACCCTCACGTAGCAGGGTTTCGAGAAGGTTTAAATATCTATCGGTTCTAGACGCCCCACAATCAAGGTCATCGTACTGTAGACTCGAGCAGTACGTACCTAGTTACATACTCCCTAGTTCCGCGTATATTAGACGAGCTGAAAAAAACCATGGACCACAAGACGATTGGACAATCAGCTGCGGGTCTCAGCTTTGGGGGAGTCTTCGATCTCAACCCCACCCTAGCAACCCAATCCGATTCAATCATATACAGGGCGCAGTTAAGCGAATCCTTAGATCGGTTGCCGAGTTGTTGCTTGATCCACTCAGAAACCCCGTTTCCTGGTCGCTAATTGGCATTTCCTGGGTAACTTCATGGGAACGTGTTGTTGCAAAGTAGCCCAGCTGGGCGATCATCTCTTCCCCTCCCCCCCACTATCATCACCATGGGCGTGTCTCCCAAACTGATGTTTTGATCGCTATCGGCTTCACTCCTTGAATCGCTGTATGCTGATGGCAACGGTAAGTGTATTCAATGATCGTCGTGGAGAGAACGCCAGGTTGGCATGCTGTATAAGCTGCATCGCTATATGGAGAGGTTCCAGAGGTTCACGACTTCATATTTTCAGGAACCGCTTAGAACCGTCTTCGGCCTCAAACACCTTACTCAACGATCTCTGAGAGAAGTGTGCATCATCGAGGTATAATTGCTTTTGCACGTTAATCTTCGTCTACTGACTCCCTTTAATTTTGCTATAGGCAGTTTATTACTTCGTCTAACTATTCGCTCAATAACCTGATTTTAGGAACTGTAGTCTTGTGTGAATTAGGCCGAATCAACCTTCTGCTTTTCTTTTCACTTGGCTATTTAACGCTTGGGTCTTCTAACTTCGGCAAATCAATGGAGGCTTAGCAGATCTTACTGCTATATATGAAGATATAACGAACCACACTCCAATAGAAAGCTTAAGATAGCTAGCCCAAGAGAAGCCCGACAACAGGGACAGAAGCGTCACTCTAGAGTAAGCATTTCATTGAAGCTACCTCGCTCACGCTATTTCTCTATCTTTAATCTGCCTAGGACATGCAGAGGTCTATTCAATGAGTACAAAGCGGCAAGAGGTAGGCTAGACGCAAGGGCTAAAACAGAAAAGGAAAGACAGCTATGCTTGAAAAAAGAAATTCGGTATATATATGTAATGCTAGCATGTCACATCACAGTTCATCCTTGCGGCCCGAGCCTGCATGGACGTCTTCCTCTCCTCCTGGGCACACGGCAGGGGTGTTGACGAGCATCGAATAGACGCACTTCTCGTCTTCCGCAATCTTCAGGATCTCGTTCTCCTCGCCACACTGCAAGACAACACTTGTGGACCGAGCAGGGCCGTTCCAGCAGGTCTGTCCCTTGGCGTACTCAAGAGATATTCTCTCCTCGGGGACGATCTCACCAGACTCGTTGAGCTCATCAATGGTGACGGATCCAATGCGAACAAAGTTGCCCATGCGTGCCGTTGATCCTCCCTTCTTGGGGATCTGTTTAGTCTGATCCAAGAAGCAGTGTTCGTACGTGTACTCTCCGGCATCCTTTTGGATACAGACGCCCTTCAGAGCGCGGAAGATGGATCCCACACCGTAGTCCGTATCAAGGTCCTCCTTGTGGTCCTTTACCTGGTTCTTCAAGTCTTCGATGGACTTGCGAACTGCATTGACGGCGTCACGGGCCTCAGTAACTGCCTTGGACTCAGAGGCGGAGCCCTCGTCTTTCGTAGGCAAGACGCCGTTCTTCTCGAGGAAACCACGGATGGTGAGAACCTTGTCCTCAATGAAGTTCACAAGAGACGGAGGAAGGTAAGCTGCCAGCTGGTAGACTAGATTACAGTTAGTCTCTACAATCAAAACTATACAACCAAAACACATACCAAGATTAGCTTCACATCCATCCTCTTCATTCTCCCATTGCTCCCAGTTGACACCAGACTTGTCATCATCAGGCTTGGCGATCTCATCCAAATCACGGTCACGGGCGGCGTTCTCCAGACCTTCAGAGGTGCCTCTGGCAGCATATTCCTCCCAGCTGCGCACAGCGCGCTTGACACCTTCGTCGTTAAAGTTAGGGTTATATTCGACCTTGAACTTGGAGAGAATCTCCTCGAGCTCCTTGACGCGAGAGCGAGTCTCATCCCTCTCCTTACGGACCTCAGCCAAGGCGGTTCTGAGCTCTTCAACTCGGCCCTTGGCCACCTGAGCGAGCACATTGACCTTGCCTGCCTTCTTACCCGTCACCACCTTGCTCCGTTCCTGCTTCTCAATCTCCTCCAGATCAGCCTCCAAATCCTTAAGCTTGATCTCCTGGCCCTGAATTTCAATCTCCAATCTATTAATGTTCTCCTCGAGTTCCTTCTGCTGTCTTCCAGCGATGGTAAGAAGTTCCTTCTTCTTCTTCAGTGCAGTCGTCATCGACTTCTGTCTCTTCTCCTCCTTCTTCCGAAACTCCTTGCCAATCTCCTTGCACTTGTCCTCGCACTTTGTGCCCCCGACACGAGCCCACTCGTCGCTTCCATCACAGCATAGATCATAGTCACAGATCCCATCATTGACTCGCTGGAAGGGCACATAAGAAGGCTTGTGGCCCTTATTCTTGCAGTAGAACCCGGGCAGAGACAGCGTCAAGTCGAGGTCGTTATTCCCGGGACGATCAGCGACCGTCAACGGTGAATTACGGGACAAATGGGCACAGGCCGAAGTGCCGGGCTCATCACTCCCATCCGGACAATCACAGTAGTCATCATTGACGGCGGAAAAGGGGACCTTGATAGCCGGGTGCGAGATGCAGGTGAATGTGTCGGTGTCCTTGTAGAACTTCGCGACTAGTCAATCAACAACACTACCATGTTAGCACTGTATATCCAATATAATCCAGCAAGGGCACAGCAATAAATCCCTGGCAGTACACCGCCACGATCAAAACAGCAACACCAGTCCAAACCACACTCCAACCACCCAAGCAAACAATAAAAGAACAACAACTCACATTCGGGCCCTACACCCCGAGGACGTGCGGAGCCGTCGTTACTCGCCGCAACCACGGCGGTCGAGCATGCTGCCAAGCTCACGAAGAACAACGATCCCTGAGGCAGTATCATGCTGGGAGCATTGAGCTTTTTATCGCGCCAATGCGGGTGAACCGAACAAAACGTTGTATACAAATGCGGAGAGAGCTTCTGGCCACCTTTAGCTTGTATGCGATTCTAGACTAGACTAAACTAAATCTGGGGCGGGATGGATCCTCTCTTAGTCAGCCGTCGTTATCAAAGTGGCGAAATTGCCCGATAGAAGTTCATTTTACTTTACTCGAGACTGTATTTCCAAGATCCTGATTTCTTCTAGTGTAAACCGTGAGGAAAGATGGGTAATGACGGTGGAAGGTAATTATACCTCTTTTTCTTTTTTTCTTTTTTTTTTTTTTTT